TCCTCAGCTTTTGAACAATCTGGGTCTACTTCAGGTCAATCTTCAAACTATCGAAAACATGGACCCAGTTCTAACAATTCTTCAAGTCATGAATCCAGCGCAAGTGGACACAACAAACAACAAACACATTCAGGTTTGGAATCAGGACAGTCCTCAAGCTATGAAGAGTCCGGATCTGAATCAGGACAATCTTCTCGTCAAGATCACCAACACTATGGATGCGGACAGTCTTCAAGTTCTAGACACAATGGTTCAAGTTCAAGTCATTCTTCTAAGCCAAACCATCATGAACCCAACAGAAGTGGATTTTCAGGGTATTGTGGGAAACAAAAGAATGACTCTAGATCACATCAGTCCTCTAATTATGGAAAATTAGAATCTGGTTCTAATGAATCTTCAAGTCTACAAGGGTCTAACTCAGGTCATTCTTCTATGTATGGACAAAATGAGACTGGCTTAGGTCATTCTTCCAACCATAGACAACAGGGCTCTGGCTCAGGAGAGTCGTATAGTTATGCCCAACAAGGATCTAGTTCAAGTCAGTCTTCTAGTCATAGTAGACTTCAGTCTGGTTCAGGTATTTCTACTAGCCATAGCCAACATGGGTCTGGATCAGGACATTCATCTAGCTGTGCTCAACGAGGAGCCAGCTCAGGTCAGTCTTCTAGCTATGGTCAACATGGGTCTGCCTCAGGTCAATCTTCTACTCATGATAGACATGCACCTGGCTCAGGTCATTCCTCAGAATCACGCAAACAAGGATCAAGCTCAGATGAGTCTTCAAGCTATGGTCAGCAAGAATCTGGCTTAGGTCACTCTTCTGGTCATAGTAGACATGAGTCTGGCTCAGGTCATTCTTCCACTCATAGTCAACATGGGTCTGGTGTAGGACAGTCATATACCAGTGGTCAACAAGGATCTAGCTCAGGTCAGTGTTCTAGGCATGGTCAACATGGGTCAAGCTTAGGTCAGTCGTCTAGTCATGAAAGACATGAGTCTGGATCAGGTTATTCTACTAGCTGTGACCAACGAGGATCCAATTCAGGTCAGTCTTCTAGCAATGGTCAACATAGATCTAGCTCAGGTCAATCTTCTAGTCGTACTAGACATGGGTCTGGCTCAGGTCATTCTTCTAGCTGTGGCCAACGAGGATCCAGCTCAGGTCAGTCTTCTAGCTATGGTCAGCAAAAATCTGGCTTATGTCAGTCTTCTAGTCACAGTAGACATGAGTCTGGCTCAGGTCATTCTTCCTCTCATAGTCAACATGGTTCTGGTTCTGGACAGTCAGCTACCAGTGGTCAACATGTATCTAGCTCAAATCAGTCTTCTAGGCATAGTCAACATGGGTCAAACTCAGCTCAGTCTTCCAGTCATGATAGACATGAGTCTGGCTCAGGTCATTCGTCTAGCTGTGACCAACGAGGATCCAGCTCAGGTCAGTCTTCCAGCAGTGCTCAATATAGATCTAGCTCAGGTCAGTCTTCTAGTCATACTAGACATGGGTCTGGCTCAGGTATTTCTTCCAGTCATAGCCAACATGGGTCTGGTTCAGGAGAGTCATCTACTTGTGGCAAACAAGGATCTACATCAGGTGTGTCTTCTAGCAATGGAAAACACGAGTCTGGCTCAAGTCATTCTTCCAGCCATAGTCAACATAGGTCTGGATCACGACAGTCATCTAGCTGTGGTCAACAAGGATCCAGCTCAGGGCAGTCTTCAAGCTATGGTCAGCAGGAATCTGGCTTAAGTCAGTCTGCTGGTCATAGCAGACATGATTCGGGTTCAAGTCATTCTTCCATTCATAGTCAACATGGTTCTTGTTCAGGACAGTCAGCTACCAGTGGTCAACAGTCTTCTAGGCATGGTGAACATGGGTCAAGCTCAGGTCAGTCTTCTAGTCGTACTAGACATGGGTCTGGCTCAAGTACTTCTTCCAGGCATAGTCAACATGGGTCTGGTCCAGGAGAGTCATCTACTTGTGGCAAACAAGGATCTAGATCAGGTGTGTCTTCTAGAAATGGAAAACACGAGTCTGGCTCAAGTCATTCTTCCAGTCATAGTCAACATAGGTCTGGGTCACGACAGGCATCTAGCTGTGGTCAACAAGGATCCATTTCAGGTCAGTCTTCTAGCTATGGACAGCAGGAATCTGGCTTAGGTCAGTCTTCTGGTCATAGTAGACATGAGTCTGGCTCAAGTCATTCTTCCAGTCATAGTCAACATGGTTCTAGATCAGGACAGTCATCTACCAGTGGTCAACATGGGTCTAGCTCAGGTCAGTCTTCTAGTCATGAGAGACATAAGTCCGGTTCAGGTCATTCATGTAGCTGTGGCCAACAAGGATCCAGCTCAGGTCAGTCTTCCAGCAATGGTCAACATACATCTAGCTCAGGTCAGTCTTCTAGTCGAACTACACATGGGTCTGGCTCAGGTATTTCTTCCAGTCATAACCAACATGGGTCTGGTTCAGGAGAGTCATCTACTTGTGGAAAACAAGGATCTAGATCAGGTGTGTCTTCTAGCAATGGAAAACATGAGTCTGGCTCAAGTCATTCTTCCAGCCATAGTCAACATAAGTCTGGAACACGACAGTCATCTAGCTGTGGTCAACAAGGATCCAGCTCAGGTCAGTCTTCTAGCTATGGTCAGCAGGAATCTGGCTTAGGCAGGT